GCCCGCCCCGCGCGGGGTCACGCGCACTCGGGCTCAGTAAAAACACAACGGAGCCTGGAAAAAATCCGAACAATGACTTTAATGTACAAATCCCGTCGCTGCAGCAGGTTCGCGGGTTTAATCGGGATCCCGAGGAAAACGGAACAAACGGGGAACGGGGAAGAGCCCTTGGACCGCTTTATTGGGATCCACGTAACACTCGGAAAAGGCTGGCTCGGTCCTGCGCCGTGACCGCAGCACGGGCAGCCCCGGCCCCGCCGCACGCCGGGCACTGACTTTGCTGCTGAAATTTCTTAAAACTTACCAAAAACAAAAAGCTGAACAAGAGACGGGCCCGAGCGGCTCCCGGAGCGTGGTGGTTAAAGGAATCGGTTCATCTAACCCAGGACTAAGCGAGAACTACATGCAGTAGTACAAATCTCAAGGACATATTACAAATACTCTGAAATTAATCTAGGGGAGGGGGAAAAAAAAAAAAACTTGCTACAGACACCATAATACACAATAAATTTAGATAATTTAAAAATAAAAAAGGCAAGAGGCAGCATTTCAGCAGCAAAGTGCTCAATAAAAAGTATATTGTAGAGGGGCAGGACAAGGAGAGGTGACAGCAGGCAGGCAAGGGCTCAGAGGAAGTACGGCGTGGTTGTCCTGGGAGGAATGACACGCTCTGAGTCTGGAACTGCACGGAATAACTTTGGTTCTCTAGTATTTACATCTTTAAAGACCATGATGGACGCGATGTTTCCGCAGCGGTAGCAGTAGTTGGGAGCTGACCATACTGTTACCAACTTCTCATCAAACATGAATTTGTATCCTTCGTGGACGAGCTGGTGTGCTCTGCAGATCAGCTTCAGGTTGTTGATGTGAACAAACTGCAAGGGAAGGGGGAAGGTCAGTGTGCCCCGAGCGGCCGCTGCCCACACAACACCCTGCGCAGCCGGAGGGAGAACAGGGGCTTTGGAGACCTGAGCAGTGAGAAACCCCTGTGAAATACACTGCCAACACCGAGCACTGAGGAACAGCATGAAATCCAGGCAGCAGGGCTGTCCCCAGGCTCAGCCCTTCCTGAACATGCTGTGCAAGCGCCACAACGCAGGGCAAGCGCAGCTGTTGTGATGTGACCAGGTCAGAGCCTGGCAAGGCCAGTGTGTGGAGCCTTGAGGAGTCTGCTCAGTGCTGACACAACAAAATTAACTCAAGAATTGCTTAAAAAATGGTATTTTTCTCCTAGGTCCTTAGGAAAGCATTCCACACAGAGCCCAGGGACACTAGTGAGTTTCATCACATCACTCTTTCCAAAAGCAAGACGGCTATTAGTGCATCTGGCATTATATTTGTTCTTTTAGGTTCAAGTGCCTCATTTATTACAGCTGGCACAAGCAAAGCTTCCCCATCACCAGGAGTTACTGGCAGAGGCATGACAGGGGAGTTCACTGTCTTGCAGAGTCCACTCAAAAACCCCACGGAGCTGAGCCCCTTAGTTCCCCCATCCCCACACTTGGGTTGTGTGGCCCTGAGCAGCAGCGTTACCTCGTTGGTGACCTTGGCCCCAAAGAGCCAGCCCGCCCCACGTGGGCTTATGGCCCACGTGTCCACGTCCTCCGGGTCCGACCACACCAGGTCGCAGAAGGCGCCTTTGTGAGGGATTTCCTGGTTACGTTCAATGGTCCGGATCTGGTCGAGAGTCTTGATGTCTGGGGAGAGGCCTCCGTGCACACACAGAATCTGTTCGTCTATTAACTGCAGGGAAACAACACGTGAACAGAACACTCAGCATTCACCCGGCCCAGATGCTCCAGGGGAGCCTGCACAGCTCACCACCTCTGGAGCTCCCTTTAGACAATCTGCTGCCATTAACGTGGTGTTTGCACTTACAGCTGCTATTGTGAGCATGTCGAAGACTTTGGTGCAGTATCTCCAGGCGTTCGCATTCCCGTATTTGGTTTGGCACTCGTCTGTTGGAGAGAATGGCTTTATTTGTCATGGATCATGGGAAAACAGGCAATACAGGCAGAGCAAACACTGACAGGAGAACCTGCACACTCAGGTGTGTCACACAAGCCCTGTGCTGGGCCCTGCTGCTGGCTAGGACCAGCACCAGCAGCAGGAGGAACCCAGCACCTCATGCTCTGCTTCTGCCTGTGTAACTGAATGTGGCACCATAAGGCAAGCAGAAACCCTATGTGCCAAAGGAAAAGAGCAGCAAGTTCCGCCTTAAACACATTCCATTTCAGAAACACAATGACGGTGTTAACAAATCTCAGTGCTGGAGCCCATGTCCCACCCAGCCCATGGAGAGCCCCACGTGCTGTGGCCTTGCCAGCAGCTTTGCCACGGCAGAGGTGCTGCACACGTGTGCCACGGGGCAGGACTCACCGTAGAACCCGTACACCTGGGTGATCTGCCTGCTCTCGTGGTTGCCTCGCAGCAGCGTGATACGGTCAGGCCACTTGGCTTTTAGTGCAAGGAGGTACGTGAACGTCTCGAGGCTGTAATACCCTCGGTCTACAAAGTCCCCCTGAAGGCAGAGACAGCCGTACATGGAGCAAGAGTCACACGAGAAAGTGCACAGTGACACATCCGCTCTCAGCTCCTCACTGACACAAAGAAACCCAGCGCTGGAGGGCAGCCGGGATCTGCTCAGGCCCTCGGGAGCTCCGGGCACTATCAGGTGTGGGCTGGGCACTCGCTCACCGCCGCCCTGACATGACCCCGGGCCCCCGGACCCCCGGGCA